AGAAATGTGAGGCTTTCTGCTCCCACTTAGATTTACAGCTTCAAAAATCCCATCTATACAAAGTTGCTGTGAGTCAGAGAATGGTGGTTCTAGAGAATAAACACTGGACTTTGAACTATAAACTTGGTGGTTTGAGTTCACCAGCTGCTCCACAGGAAAAAGATGGGGCTTTCTAGTCCTACGGAGATTTATAGCCTTGGAAACCCTATACAGAATGGCTATGAGTCAGAACTGACTCAACGACCCTGAGAGACAGAGAATGAGAAAGAGAATATATATAGTCAAAAAAGCATTTTGCAACTTGCTTCTAGAAGGACCCAGCCTTTTTGCAGGGTTGCAAAGCACTGCTAGTGTAGCCCCCTGAAAATTCCCCCACTTTCCCAGCAGGCAATCACTCTGCTCGCATTCTGCCTGTCACTATCTGGGCTCCAAGAACATGAGCTTTTTATGGATCTAGCCTGAACCAAACTACGAATTGAATTGGGAGGAAAACATGATTCTAAGGCAGAATAAACAGAACAAGTCTCAGTAATCCAGGCTCTGCAATCCCCCTTTGTCAAAGTAGTAGCCCCTTGAGCTGACCTTTCACCATGGCCTTGCTGGCAACACCGAACTGGGTGCCTCCAGGTAAGCCTCCTGCCTGTCTCATTCCATTCTCTTCTCTCCAGGTCTTCCAGAAGCCCAGTCCCTTCAACGTCATCAGCCCCCTTCCCTACCCAGAGGCCCTGGACACCATCCACCACCTTGATGAGCATGCCTGCCTGAAGGTGTCCCCAGAGCTAAGGAATTTGGAATTGCATGGCAGCACAGACAGTGGCTTTGGTAGTGCCAAGCCATCCCTGCAAACTGAAGAGTCTCAGTTCTTCCTCCCTGCACACCACTCCCAGGCTGGTGGGACCATGGGGCAGGGGGATCCCCCAGTGCTGGAGAACAGCTGCAGTGGGAACAGCAGCAATAGCACGGACAGTGGGATCTGCTTGCAGGAGCCCAACCTGAGCCCTGGCACAGGGCCTGACTGGAAGCTGCAGGTGGGGAGCGCCAAGCAGGACCAGGATGATAGTGGCATCGGCCTGGTCCCAAACCCTGCAGGGCAGCCTGGGGACACACAGAGCAGCTCAACCTTTAACAAGGTCAGTCCCCTGAGGCCTGAACTTCCTGGGGAAGAAGACCCAACTGAAGTAGTAATCCAGGGTTACCTGAAGCAGGCACGATGCATAGAAGAGAAATCAGCCAATGCCAGCTGCCTGGAGGTAGAAACTTCAACAGATAATCTTGACCCTAAATTCCAAACATGCCTACATGTCGAAGCAGGCTGGCCTCCTTCAGCTCTGGCCAAGGGCTATATGAAACAGGACCCCTCAGGAATGACTCTCCTCTCAGGGCCCCCAAGTGGACAATGGAACCAACCAACTGAGGAATGCCGGCTCCTGGGTTTGACCAACTGTGATGAGCTAGGAACCTCTGACTGGAGCTTTGCCCTGCAGCTTGCCCCTCTGGACTGTGTGGCAGCCCCAGAAAATCTCCTGGGTAGCTTTGACTCAGACCTAGTGGCCCTGCCACTGATCTCCAGCCTGCACACAAGTCAGTGACGCAGCCTAAGAGGATGAACTGGCTTTTAGCCATGCGTGTTCTTCCCTTAGATGACGCTGGACAAAGATTGTCCTCAGAGGAGGAGGAGGAGATGTCCCCAGGAATCAAAGGTCAAATGTAAGACCAGGCTGGGCACTTTTTGGCAAGCCCAGTAGTGCCAGCCCTAACCTTGTTCCACCAGGATGGCATGGTGCCCAGGGACAGGAGAAGGACAATTATTGTACTAGCACAGGACATGGAGTGACATTCAATGGGCTCGGGTGGAATCTGGCAAGCTGGGAAGATCAAGGCAGAGAGCCCGTCCCCCTTGGGATTATTTCCTGCCTCAGTAAGGATTGGTTGTGCAGGAAACTATGGGGTCTTCTGGAGTTGTGGAGAGGCTGTCAGGCTGATGTCAGCATGGACCCAGGACTTCCCCTAAGGCCAGCTATGTGTTAGGGCCTCCAAGGAGGATGAAGGCTTCTGGACCTTTGTGTAGGACTCATTTCTTGAAGGAAACAGGAGCCAGCAGATCCCATGTTTGAGGATAGAATGGTCACACAGAGAAGGCAGGGAGGTTGTCACTGTAAGATCTTAACATGTGTCTGCCCAGAGTCAGCCCAAGTACGTCAGGGGGATGAAGATGAATTGAGCTGAGACCTGGAATGGGACTTCTGGCTCCAAACCTGTCCTGGTGTGGTGTCTATGGTGTCTGTCTCTAGACATCCCCGTTTCCAGCAAAGACAGCAGCATCCCCCAGTGTTTGTGCAGTGGCCAGGCCAGTCCCCATCTTCACCCTGCTACAACCATCTTCTTGCTGACAGTACCAGAGAAGTCATGGTTGTTTGTATTGGTCAAAACCCAGTCCCTTAGGTAGCCTCTGGGCTTTCAGCACCAACTCATGCCTGCCCCATCGAATCGGGGCAGGGATCTGCTCTTGTGTTTGGATGGAAGGGAGCCCTGATCTCTCAGTGTGTAGCAGGTGACGTAGGACCAACCAAGTCTCTTCAGAGAACCTCAGTTTCCCCATCTGTGAAATAAGGATGCATTCACCATGCCAGATGTTAGCTCTTATCTGGTAAGAAGTGGGTTAAATGACCATATTTGTACAGACCCAGCCTCTGTCTCATGCTGAGGACTGGTAGGTCCAACAGAAGTCCATATAACCTGCAAGGAGAGCCACTGGTCCGTAAGCATCCAGCAAGGCCAAATGTCAGCTTGACATCTGTCTTCAAAGTCACTTCACAGTCCAGAAACAAAGAATATGGGAGGGGTGGTCTGCCTGGAGTGGTCTTATAGTTGTCACATTCTGGGGACAGACATTCCTGCCCAGGGCAAGAAGCCAGAGCCCCATCCATTCTGCCACAGAGCTCTAAAGGTACCAGTCTGATAACTGAAATCCCTCTTGAAATCCTTGAAAGGTTTATTTATTTATTTTAGTCATTTATTTATTGAAGAGGCAGCATTATACAGTGGAAGAATTCTGGGGACCTCAAGAACAAAGCTCCAATTCTGATTCTACTGTTTATTGCTGTGTGACCTTAGGCAAGTCATGTATCCTCTTTGAGCCTCAGTTTCCCCATCTGTAAAACTGAGAAGTAGTGTCTGACTTATCTAATTCATGGGGATGAGAGATTCCATTGAGAAAATGGGTGTACATGCATCTTATCTTGAACTCAAAGCTCCGTGAAAGAGTGGTGGATGCTCCCCTCATGCCTCAATAAATTGTCTGAACCACAAGAATCTTGTGACACTAACCAGATTTCTGATGACATAGTCTTTGGAGGAGGACCCTGGGTTGTTGATAATTAAGAATGACAATGACAATGATGTGGGATGTCAGTTTCAAAGACTGAAGAGTCAACCGTATCAGTAGTATTTATTATTTGTAATCTTGGGAGAATTACTTGACCTCTCAGAGTTTCATTTTTCCATCTATCAAATGGGCATAGTGACACTTCATGGGCTATGTGAGCCTAAATGAGGTCATATATAAGGAGAGGATAACATGGGGTTTGGTAGGTAGGTGTTCCACTGCTGTTAATAGCTGTAAGCCTTACGGTGGAATGAACCGCTTTTCTTAGAAACTGTGAAAATGAAAGAGATAAGGAGTATGAAGAAGGGTTCTTTTCAGAAGACCGAAAAGGAAACGTTGGAAAGTACAGTACATTTTAAACATAATCTCTGACTACTTCCCTTCAGGGAGACCTCCTGGAGTCCCATTCCCTCCTCCCCTGGGACTGAGAAGTACTTCCTAGGGGTGGTCCTCAAAGGTGCATTCACTCCTCAAGACACTGTTCCTTCTAGGAAAAGCCATACTAGTTTCCAACTGCTTACTAAGCTCAGCCCACTGGATGGAGCAAATCCAGGCCACCTGTGTCACCCACAAGCTTTACTCTTTATCCCAGCCTGGATCCCAGAGGAGGGGGCTGGGAACACCTCATCTCTTCATCCCCACATCTTATCATCTTCAACTCTGCCTCTCCCCCTTTACTCTGAAGAAAATCCCCAATTCCGGGGAAGTGCTGATCCTATCACCTTCAGAGAACTTGAGTAATATCATACCATTTCAGACCTGCCCTGTAGGCCTCTTTAATCAAGATTGGTCACTTTCTCCTAGAAAGAGGTGTTAGAGATGGCTTCTGTCTCAAGGAAAGGGCCCTGGAGACAGGTTTGGATGAAAACTAACCAAAGAATAAACAGCAAGGGTTAGAGAAGAAAGGGAATCCTTTTAAAGGAGTGAGAGCCAATTTAGTTGAAAGGTGAGGTGGGGAATAACTTGACAGACAGCTAGTCAGAGACAGACCCTGGGCATTTTTCTTCTGCAAAATCAATATGAGTATGCAAGGGTTCATCTGTGCATTTTAGCTAACCTCCCATCACAGCAGACTCATGGGAGGAAAACTGAGTGTTCTCCCAAACAGTTGAGGTAAATGAGACACTTCCAGACTTCTAGGAAATTTGGATTAAAGTCCCCAGCAGAAGGCCCTGATGGTTCACAAACTGAGCAACTTGCTCCAAGGGCTTTCCCAGGCTGAGGAATGTGAAATTCTAATTTTCTATGAGCTAATGGAACTTCCTCTTAGAACTTCTCTCTTTAGCCAACATTGACTGAAGAGGAAATTCTACTGCACTGTGCTTTCCCAATTTTGTAAATAGCTGTAGTCAAAGAACTGGCCTTACCTTCTCCAAATCTCTCTCTGTTCCCCCACCTTTATTCTCTTTCTTTCTCAATGCCTACATTATCCAATACACCCAATCCCTGAACAAGCTTGGTCACACCCCAGAGCCCTCCCCGCTCCATGCTGGATATAGGCTCTCTGAACCCTGCACATGAGCCAACTGAGAAAAGGGGGCTGTGGGCTTGTGCTCACCTGAGACTGAATACTGGTAATCATGTGAAGCAGGTTCTAGCAGTGAGGGCTGATTTTATCTAGCCCCAACCTAGAGAACGCTAGGTACTGAGAGGTTTTGACTCATGTTTCCTGTAACATGCATGGGCTTGGAGGTTATTTCTGAAGCACGACTACAATTTTAAATTCACAGCATTTCTATTAATGACCTTTGCTCATTATTTAGTGACTTGTTCTTACCTTCAAGTAGAATTTAAGAGCAAGATGATAATTCTAGAACCTCATAAACACCTCCAAAAAGGAGTGAAATTGGATTAAATTTGTGTTCTAAGAAAATGATCCTGGCCAAAGCATCATCCCAAAATTAGAGGTGAGGAGAACTGCTTAGAGGCTTTTATTGTCATCAGTACCTCATTTATTTGACAAACATTATTGAACACTTACTATGTGCCAACCACGGTGCTCATCTCTGGGTTCACAGTGATGAACAAAATAGGCACAGGCTTGTGGAGTGTGCCATCTGGTTATAAGATCAAATAAATAAACACACAAATATAAACAGTGACACACGCCATGAAATAAAGTTATATCTCACACAAAGGACAAGGCAGGAGGCAGAGAAATTGGGTAGGCAGCTTATATGATATGATAGTCCATTCAAGTGACCATAGAGCTTTAACTTAAATAGGGACAGTGGGAATAGAGAACAGATTCCAATGACATTTTGAAGGATGAACTGGCAAAACTAGGTGATAGACAGGCTATAGTAAATAAAGTATGGGAAATCAGAGGTGCTAATGCTAATAATATTCCAGTAGTCCTGGTGTGGCGCTGTAGGTAAACACTGGACTGCTTACCTCAAGGTCGGCAGTTCAAATTCATCAACCATTCCTCAGGAACCCTATACAGGGTTGCTATGAATTGGAACTGATTCAACATCACTTAACAATCTATTCAAACCTGGATGATGAGCATGAAATGGGAATGAGGAAGAAGACACAGGCATGTGGAGGCAGTGAGTTTTGGCTTAGATATAACAAACCACCTTCAGCAGCTGGTGAGGCAGGCCTGGCACTGGGTCAGGGCTGGGGATTTGGAAGCTGTGATAGTTAAGATTTTGGGCCAACTTGGCTAGACCAGGATTGTCAGTGGTTTAGTAGTTAAGATGTAGTAACCCCTCATGATGAGATCTAATATAATTTAATCACCTTCATGATAAAATCTACTATAAGCAGCCTATCAATTAAAAGGACATTTTCTTAGGCTGTGGCCTGCTACCAATCTGTTGATTTACTTTTTGCTGGGTCTGGATCCTACATCTGGCTTGTCACCATGGTTCTTTGGACTTGACCCGGTGTCCTGCTATATTGCTTGCCAATCCTGGGAGTCATCAGTAGCCAGTCATCTTACCTGCAGACCTCTGCAGCCAGAAGCCTATTGTCTGATCTGCCAATCTTGGGTTCATCAGCTCCTGCAGCTAGGTGAGTCCGAGGAGGCCTTCAACCTGATGCATGGTCTTGGAACTTGCCAGCCTCTACAATTGTGTGGGCCATTTACTTAATATAAAACTGCATGTATGTGTGCATGCATGTGTGTGTGTGTGCATGCGTGCAGAGACACAGAGAGGAAATAAATTTTACTGTTTTTGCTTTCTCTAGAGAACTCAG